CATTTCTGGACCATCTCCTGATGACAGCTGTTAAAGTTGTTTTGAAAAGGATATTTTCCTAGTCTATTATCCTAGTGTGGTTAAGTTTCATAAGATCATAAGCAGAGCCTATATAGTATGCCGGCCACAGAGACTGGCGAAACGTTAGGAAGAACAACCTTCAGAACACGGCCAAAGAGCCTGAAAAACCCACAACAACAATTAGATCCCGGCCGTGAAAGCCATCGCGAATACAGAGCCTATATAATTCAACACTCTGCTCATACATTGGCTAGCCGGTTGCCTATGGGAGACCCATCAGCAGATCATGTGTACAATTGCACCTCCATCTTGCATTCTGCGTCCATTGATATAAAGAGACACAAATCCATGTTGACTGATAGCCATTGATAGACTTTCATCTGTAGTTTATCTAATTTATCTAAACCTTTTATTGTGGCCTAAGTTTGAACATTATAAAACAGACTGGCATTGCAGCATGTTGTTACTTCTGCTTCTTGTATATTTGGTCTCTTGATACTAAACACATTTCCTCATCTTTTGCAAATTTTGCCTGCTGTCAAGTTGGTGTCTCAGCTGCTGTGCTGCTGGCTTCCAAAACAGATAGTGGAATCCTGCTTCATAAGATAGTTCCTTTGCACAGAAATTTAGTCTTTGGCTTGGTCCAGGATACTACAAGCAGACTGGAGATGCGGAAACTCTGGTCATTTGCTATAAAAATGCCCAAGAGCATAAGTGAGGAATTAGAGACCCTCCATATTCAGTTGGACAGCCACTCCCACTCTCTCCAGCCATTGCCCATGCTAATAGAGGCTGATAGGATTTCGTCAGCAATTTCTGGAGTGGCACAGATTTCCCACCCCTATCCAGTGGAAACATATATTGTGATTCCTTCCAGTACTAGTTGCCAGGGATCATGAGCAGAAGGGTGTTCCATATCCTGTTTATGGGCTTGTTGTTTCAGTTTGCTACTTGGAGACCACAGTGCTGGACTAGATAGGCCTATTATATGATCCAGTACAGCTCTTGCTACATTCTTACAGGTCTTCAAAAGATCTAGGATCTGAATGTTTTCCTCCATGTGGCAATCCTATCATCTGCATCTGAGTTGGGTAACAGCTGGTAATGCAAAGGCCATACATGTGAATTTGGATTTTGGTCCGTCATTGACCTACTTGCACTTTGTCCACTTTTCCATTGCTGTACCTGCTTCTTTTTCCTTCCTTTGGCTCTAGCACTGTGACCATCCTGTCAAGCTCCAACTGTTTTTTACAATGATAGCATTTGATGTACACTGGGCACCAGATCCAGGTAGTATCTAGAAAGCACTGCTGATTGTCTTGCCAGTGGGAAGCAACAAAGGTAGAAATTCAGATGGAACGTGCTAGGGATGGTGCATAAGATGGTGTGTACCATGGCTACTCTAGCCAGTCAAATATACCTTGAAGAAAATAATAAAGTTACACACTGTTAAATAAACTGACATTACTCAAAAAATGAAACTTGGATTTTCAGCAAGTTATCTCTCCCTTGTTACCTGTAGAGTAAGTGTATGTTTCACCCTCCAGATGTTATTGGACAGCATCTCCCATTAGTCCTAGCCAGCTTAGCTAGTGGTGAGGGACAGTGGGAGCCACAATCCACCAACATCTGGAGACCCACAGATTTACCTTCCTTGCCTATAAGAAAATGTATAAATGGCCATCCTACTTCTGCTCAATCAACTATGTTTCTCAATTTACTTTGTTCAGTAGATTTCCATGGGACTCTTCAATTCAGCACTGTTCTGAGCTTAAAAGAAATCTCTCTCCACAGGGTGTTCCTGTAATGGCAATAAGGAACAAAATGATCTCTGAAGGATTGAATCCAGATCTTCTTGAGTAAGTGACAGTTTCTAGTTTGCTTGAATATTATATGTGTGGGGAATTTGTGGGATGAAATCAAGTAGGCTCATTGAATCAGTGGAGATTTGGTGAGTCAACTTCCTCCATAAGTTCAATTGATTAAAATGGAACTACTCTACTTGTGACTTGATATGCTCAAGCAAGTTGCAACTACAGTAGTTCCTCGCTTAACTACGATAATCCGTTCCAGGAAAATCACAGTTAAGCGAAAACATCGTAAAGTGAAATTAAAAACCCCATTGAAACACATTGGAAACCCTTTCAGTGTGTTCCAATGGGGTAAAAACTCACCGTCCAGCGAAGATCCTCCATACAGCAGCCATTTTCGCTGACTGTATAGAGAGGAATCCGTCCCTAAGCACAGTGGGGAGCCATTTTAAGCACCCGGTGGCCATTTTGGAAACCCGCCGAACAGCTGTTTTTGATCGTCGTAAAGCGAAAATCGGGTTCCAAAGCAGAGAACCGATCGTCGCTAAGCGAAATTCCCCCATTTAGACCATCATTTTGTGATCACAATTGCAGTCGCAGAAAGATCGTCGTAAAGCGGATTCGTTGTAATGCGGGGCAGTCGTTAAGCAGGGGCACAGGTGGCCATTTTGGAAACCCGCCGAACAGCTGTTTTTGATCGTCGTAAAGCGAAAATCGGTTTCCAAAGCAGAGAACCGATCGTCGCTAAGCGAAATTCCCCCATTTAGACCATCATTTTGTGATCACAATTGCAGTCGCAGAAAGATCGTCGTAAAGCGGATTCGTTGTAATGCGGGGCAATCGTTAAGCAGGGGCACGACTGTAGAATTTGCCTGCAGCTTTGCCTTCAGAAAGTGTTTGGAAACTTCGGCAGGTCCAAAACATTAAAGCCAGATTGTGAACTAGGGCTAGTTGCAGGCATCACATTACACACGCACAGAGAGAGAGAGAGACCGAGAGACCAGCTTTACTGGCTGCCAGTCTGTTTCTGGACACAATGTAAAGCTCCTTTTTAACCTGCAAAGTGCTAAACAGCTTGGGTCCAAGCTATCTCAGGGACTGCATCGCCCTTTATGAGCCTGCTGAGGTGTTAAGATCCTCAGGAGAGGCCTTTCTCTCAGTCCTGCCACCCTCATAGGTGCACTTGGTGGGAACATGGGAGAAGTCCTCCTCTGTCTCTGCTAGCAGACTCTGGAACTCCCTCCCACGGGAGGCTAGGTTGGCCCCTTCTTTGCTGTCCTTCTTTAAGCAGACAGGAGACCTTTCTCTTCAGGCAGGCTTTCCCTTAATGACTGACTGTCTAGGACTCAGTAAACAAGATGGTTTATATTTTGTCGCTAAATCTTTTTTTCTTTGTAATGCTTTTACCTAACATTTTAAGTATAATGTTATTAATTGTTTAATATTTGAATAATTTATTATTTTTGGCTATTAATATTGTCTTTTGAATTATATAAGCCACCTTGGGTCCTTTTTTAGGAGAACGGTGGGGAAAATATTTTAAATAATAATTAAATAATAGGCCGATTTGAATCCATGGAACTTGTGAAAGAACTGACTCACCAAATCCACACTAGTGCAACATTCTGTGCTAAAGAACTGGATTTCAGACATTGAAGAAACTGGGAAAATGTGTTTGGTGATGATTTGGAAGATTCAGAGAAATATAATTCTTTTTGCAACTTGGCAAATTTTGTAAGACTGAAAGAAGAATGAAGATACAGGCTTTGAAGATATATGATATTATAGGGTCTTTCAAGGTGAAGGTCTGAATTATTTTGAAAATCTTCTTGACTTTACATCTAACAGGAATGATTTCTGACTCAGAAGCAACACTTCCTTCCTTAGAGAAATCCATCTTCTTCTGTTACTACAGCACTGTGTCTTCCATTGCATGTCCAGCTGTTTCTCTCTCACACATGTACACACGTACATACATACATACCTGCAGTGCACATGGACACCTTACCTGTTTTACACCTTATCAGCCCAGTACCTACAATGGGTGTGTTAGGCATACTTTAAGAAAGCTCCTGCCTTTTGTGCCTTTTAACATAGGCTAGCACAGCTATTCTTAGAAGTAGTTGGAGTAGATTTTTTTTAAAAAAAAAAATCTGGCATTCTAAACATTAGAATTGTACTTTCTCTCCTTTCCCTTTCAGGACACCAAATGCTGCGGTGCCTGCATGGGGAGATGAGGCAAATGCCGGAGAAAGTTCGGATAGTGAATCCTCTTTTAGTGACTAAAGGCAAGGGGAAGAGCAGTGTATGTGCGTGGTCTTTTTCTTCAGCTGCCCTCTTTGTACCTTCTTTGCAAGTGCATAATTTGAAGGACTTTCTGACGCTTGAACCGCATGAAATATTCTTTAAGAAATAGAACCGTTGCACTGGGATCTTCATTTTGTCTTCCACAGAGCTTTAAACAGACCCAGTCCTTCCTGAAGTGAGACTTTCATGACATGTTCTTACTTCTGATGTGGTGGCCTTCTTAACTGCTTGCTGTTCCACAGAAGCTCAGGGTGATTTTGAGGAGTGGAAAGAGAAATCTATATTCATTACGAAACCTGTGGGCAATACTTAACTTTATAAACTATGCCTGTAGGTTTGGATTTCTTCCCCTTCCTGGTAATTGCTTGCTCAGAATTCAACTAATGCTGATGTCTTGTTTTCTTAGATTGCATTCCTGCAATACCAGAAGAATTCGGACTATCACCAATTGCATTCGGTGATATTCGGAATTCTCCTGAATGAGAATTTGGAATATCACCAGCCGGCCAGAAGATAAGCACGTTCGCTTGTTCCCTGTGGCCTAACACATGAGTGTCAGAGGCGGACGGGAGCAGAGGAAAAAGGCATTGGGCATAGAATGAAGGTTGGTGGTGTTTTGAAGCAAAAGAGCATCTATTCTGTGGAGGCAAAGTACAAGATGGTGCTGCTGCTTTAGCAGAAAACCTTTTTCCTTAAAAATCCTATTGTAACCTCATGCAAGTTGTTACAGTAGCTTGCCCAGCAGCACAGGGTTGCTTTTTGCATCATCGTCACCCGAATTGCCAAAAACCCTGTGTAATTGTCATTACTGTTGTGGGATTATTACTTTTTTTAAGTTTAGAACAACATTCATTCATGTTAAAAATAAAACCCAATAAATTAAAATTGAGGAGAATAAAGCTCTAAGTATTGTTGTAAATGAAATTTTCTTTCTTAGAAGATTTTAGTACAATAGCAAATTTCCATTACTTCTGATTCAAAGAGTGGTAAAAACCAACAGCTAACAAGGAGATTATCTGGCTTTGAAGGGCAGAGTCCAGAAAGTAGTAGTCACTTATATAGATGTATGTCCACCATTTTCCAAAACGCGTGAGTTGCCTTATGGAGAGATTTGGTGAAAAGAAAAAGTGAACTTATCTTGATGAGCAGGAAGAGATATGCCTTCAGGGTCAAAAAGGCTTATCCCCTTCAGGATCAAAATACAAAGGTTACTTAAGTGCACTAAGGAATGGATTATTATTCTGAGTATGTATTTCCTAAGACCGAGTCCAATATTACACATTGATTTGCTCCAATGATTTTAAACAGCCTGTGGTCTACTTCACATGAAACATTCTGACTTTTTTAAAGTGTGCTGCTGTCCTCTTTGTTCACATTCAAGTCCCCCACTGCAAAACAAAGAAACCAGAGTACTAGCAAATCCTAGCTTGTGGTTCACAAATGATTTTGCTGGTGTATGCTGTGTGATTGTTTCCCCTTTGCTCCTTCCACTATCAGAGGTGGCCTCAGGAACCAGCAATTCACTGAGTAGCAAAGGTATAGTATTATATTTGAACCAGAGGTTCTGAATTTGTCACTCCCCTAACAAGGGCAACTCCGAAGACAGGGTTTGAAACTGACTTACAGTGCCTGGCTTGTTTGGAAGTGACAAGCTGGGAAATGAGTTTGGACCTAACACTAAGCCTTTCACCCTCACCAAGTATATTCTTGGATACTAATGCCACTTTTGTTAGTGGGGAAAAGCACGTGGGGGTGATTGAGCAATGTGGGTTTAGCATTATTGGTGAATCATATAGGTGAAGATTCTCGCTCATTGTTATGTGTGAGCTCAAATGGAGTGGAACACTTGGAAAAGCCTACTACTGCTTTGCTTTCTTGAGCAAGATTTGCATTCGGCACACCTTCCTCTTGTCTCCGTGTGGTAAGATATATATGCAAAGTGGCCCTCAAACATGTCAGTCAGATTTTTCCCTGTAATCATAGCCCAGTAGTCTTCAAGACGACACTAAATTGTTTCGCACCACCATTTTGAATTTGCTCCCTGTGTACAATAAAGGCCAAGGTGGCTGTTGCTCATCAGTATCCAGTTTAAAACTGAGCCATGAGAGGTAAGTAGTTTATACACCTCTTGACCGGAGAGTTATGGCTGCAGCTGCAGAGCAGAATCTCATGCTGTTTTTTTCTGGTTGGAACAGGACATTACAGACCATTTGTTCTAGTCTAAAAATGTGACCTGTTCTGGAAGAAGTCAAAACGCTTTGTTTGGCACAATAAATCTAAACATTTAACCAGTGTCTATGTTTTATTAATTTGATCTTCAGCAAAATGCAGCTAGTATTAATTATGCCTGTTCCTTAGTCGTAAATAATTTAAAACTGTTAATACTTGTTACCTTGCTGCCTAACAACACATATATTATATATTGTAACATTTAGAATTTGATCCTATATATTTGAAATGCATGCATGCATAAGTAAATTATGTTTTGTAAATCAAACTTGTGATTCTTTCCCCTGCATGTAGATGAAATTTGTTTATTTTTAAGGCCTCTGGGGAAGAACACATCTAAAGCCTCATGCCTAAGGCATCTGTATTAGAGTACTGCTTGCTGAATGTGTTGTAATACTGCTTCTCCTTAGGTCCAGTGAATTTCACAAGGTCCAGACACCCCATAGATGCAGGGAGTGAATGTATCAATGCCCTTAAGTGCTGTCGTCTAACTGGGCGGGAGGGTATTAGCTGGAAAGCAAGCCAGCTGAGAATTAAAGCAATCAGGAACCAGTCATGATTATCTGGGGAATGCCCATGTAGCATAATTGACATGTCTTGGCCCCTCGTAAATATATTTTCTTCTAACAATGCAGGAAGTAACTTTAAATAAAGGTATTCTGGAAATCTCAAGGGACACAACACAAGCACTAGTCTTACTGAACTTTGGTGGGTTATTTTACCTTATTTTACTCATAACAAGGGCAGGATTGTTGTCGCGCACCCCCAGTGTCCCCTGTTTGTTTTCCCACTCACACAGGTTCACCTTCGGACATGACTTGTTCTTTTCACCATCTTACGCTGCCACTAGAGGATATTACCTTCACTGTACCAATAATGAGTCACAGACTATTGCTGCCAAATATAACAAGATTTATTTATGGTTTGGTAGGTAAATCACAGAAGTAAAATCATTGATGTTCTTTTATTATTCATTCAATAAATGTGGATTTGATTACATGACAGCTTGCTTGTATTCATTCACTTTACTCAAGGTCTCAATGTATTCTGACTGTCTATGTATTTCTTATTACTTTTCTCTTTTATATTCTATAATACACCAAGTTTCCAATCTCTTGTCTTAAAGACTTCACAGTTTTCTCCCTATCTGATTCTGTCTAACCCAGTTCTCTTGATTCCGCTCCTCTTGTCCTGTCATAGGCTCCTGCACTAGAGTTCTAAAATGACTGACAGGAGTGACATGTGGGCTATCCGCCACATACCTCCCCCCTTGGAAAGTTTGTATCATGGGGTAATAGCTACAGTAGGTTACCCTCATGAACAACGTATGAGATAACTTACCAATATTTAAAATTTCTTCTTTAAAACATTGCTCAGTTATACATACACCATATATACTCACTCAATAACATAGTTTAAAGCATATACTGTAAGTATTGGTTGTTGTGGGTTTTTTGGGCTCTTTGGCCGTGTTCTGAAGGTTGTTCTTCCTAACATTTCGCCAGTCTCTGTGGCCGGCATCTTCAGAGGACAGCACTCTGTGCTCTGGTGTAGTTGGCTTTGGGAGTGCAGTATTTATGGCTGTGAGATAGGCCTTTGTCTTTTCCTGAAGATGGGTGATTAGTGTGTATTTTTGTGAGTGTATTGTTGTGCTAAGGAGAAGAGATTATCTGTTCCTGTGGTTGATGGGTGTCATTAGCTGGTCTTTTGTGTGTAGTGATCCCCTGTCCTTGTGGCTGGGTAGAGTTCGTTGACCTTTTGCACGCTGTATTTTTGAGAGCTGGGAGCCAAGTTTTGTTGAGCTTCACACTTTCCTCTTTTCTGTTGAAGTTTTGCTGGTGCTTGTGGATTTCAATGGCTTCCCTGTGCAGTCTGACATAATGATTCCAGTCACAGAGACTGGCGAAACTTTAGGAAGAACAACCTTCAGAACACGTCCAAAGAGCCCGAAAAAACCACAACAACCATTAGATCCCAGCCGTGAAAGCCTTCACAAACATATTAGTATCATTACTTTATATTTAAATTACATTTATCAATGTTTCTATTACTTACAATACAAGCCTTACTTACCATTAATTCATATATAACTTACATTTTTAATTACTTTTCAAAGTAATATACACTTAGAACTTTTAATTAGAATAGTTTTTATAACATTAAAATTACATAATAAATTAGTCTTTTTTGTCAGTCTTCTGGACTTCTTGACAAGGCACCGGCCACCATATTTTGAGTTCCTTTAACACTCTGAATCCCAAAGTCACAGTCTTGTAGGAGTATGGCCCACTTCATCAACTTCTTACTGTTTGCTTTGATAGTCCGCAACCACCACCGTGGGGAATGGTCTGTGCATGGAACAAAATGTCTTCCCCATATGTACAGTCTGAGCTTCTGCAAAGACCATACAATCACCAAACACGATCTATGGTGGAAAGGTGTTTCTCGTCAGCCTGCAGCTTCTTGCTTAGGAACGTCACTGGATGAAGGTCCTCGTTGTCGTCCTTCTGGCTCAGAACGGCTCAATGGAATTCTGGTGCTCTCGGGACATGACCGGTCATCAGTGCAGTTTCCAACCTCTCGAAGGTCTCTTCCCAGTCGCTCGACCACTGGATCCCGCTAGCTTTTCTTTTATAGGTTAGGTCCGATAAAGGGGTCTCTATTTCACTGAAGTTCTGGATAGAGTGCCTCTCATAGCTAACGTTAAGAAACACCTGATATTTTCTTTGCTGTTGATTTCTTTAACCTTCAATGTAAGGGGTTTGATTATGCCTTCCCCAACAATATGGCCTAAGTCCTTTAACTTGGAGTTACCCAGCAGGCATTTACAACCTTCACTGTTACTCCGGCATCATTTAACTTCTGTAGTGCTTTTTCATTATGATATAGGGGATCTGTCCACGTCTGACTATAGATCCTTATCTCATTTATGTATGCTACCATGAATTCTCTAAAATTGCTCAAGTTTACATGGACCATTCTTCGATCTTCCTCTCCTTCTTTCTGAATTATGTACTTAACTTCCTTCCCCTTGGATTTTATTCTAAAAGGACCTGCCCAGTTTATTTGCATCTTATTCCCTGTTATATAGACCTCAGCCTGTTATAGACCTCAGCCTCAGGACTTTCTGTCCCGGACTGAATAATCTTTCTCTGGCCTTTTTACCGCACCATGACTTTGGCTTCCCTTGCTGGCTCTGCCATTTTTCTGTGGTTAAATTCAGAGATTGTAGCAAGGAATTCATTAACTTATTTATGTACTGGAGCACTATCTCTGGGTATTTTCCCTGTTGTTTCTCCCAGTTTTGTCTGTATAAATCCAAGAGTCCCCGCACTTTCCATCCAAATAGCAGTTCAAATGGACTAAACTCAGTGTTTTCCTGGGGTACAGACCAGCATGCATATACCCAGGGTTGTATCTTGTGATCCCAGTCATTGGGGTTTTCAGCTGTATAATCTCTGATCATTCACATTAGGGTCCCATTAAATTTCTCCCCTAATCCATTTGTCTGAGTATGGTATGGGGCTGATGTAATATGAGCTATGCTACAAAGTTGCCACAGCCTTTTCATTAATCTGGAGGTGAGTGATATTCCTCTTCTAGTTACTTTATGTAATAGTCCCACAATGTCCAGGCCTAGGCATGGAAATGGGGTTGACATAATTGGTAAAGGGCAC